CTGGCTGCTCCCTCCTCTTCAGAGCAGCCACCAGAAAAATGGTTCTCAAACCTTGACTGGCTCTCAAGCCTCAGCTGAGATAACTAGCAATGACTCAGTTACGCCTCCGTACCAGACTGTAGCACTAAACACAACATAGCCACAATTGTTTTTCTAATATCATTCTGCATTTGAAGGAAGTTCAACACGGGAACAGTAAGTCTCCTATGCAGAAAGCCCTGCTTAGTACTGATCCCACCAAACACCTGAAATTCCTTCTTAATTCCACCCTCTCCCAGCTCACTTGCCACTTTGCGAGAAACCAGCGCTTTAGATTTTTCTGCTTACCCATTCATCTTCTCCGAAGCAGCAAATCAATGTCTGCGCAGACGGCAATGGCAGAGAGAGAAAACAGCAACAGACTAAAACAATCTGAACAGAAGTTTTTATCCTTTCTCTAATGACAGACAGACAGCACAAAGCAAGTGGTTCAAGGCAACAACTTTAAGACAAAGAAAATGTGAAACCCCAACAACCAACCTAGCTGTCTGAAGACTATTCCACAACATAAATTACTAATTTTTAACCAAGAAGTCCCACCTAATTTGCAGGGGCTCTGGAACAAGCTTACTGTTTACTGCAAACAATAAACTGTACAGTGAACCACGACAAACTTGTGTGATCATACTGCAAACAAGACCTTACTTTTGTTTGCTCATACATACTTTATTGTATTACCTCAATTTATTGCCTATAATTTTCCTACCCTCTTATCTCACAGAATGATCAGCTGCAGTTTGCTCTTGAAACCTGCTCACAAGACAGTAGTATTTACGTTGAAATAGTACTGTTCCTTAAAATAAAGCCCACGAGTACTGCATTCTTTCACATACCTGCACCATCAATGATTATTTAGTTTCAAGTACAAAAACACCTTTACACATCAGCTCAAATAGATCTTTTATCGTAAGTAGCATATTCAACAAAAACTACTTGTTACTTTCAACAGTGTGAGAAACAGAAACTGTGAATTTTTCTCTTCATTTTAAGGGGACAGATTATGCCATTTCCCGAAACCTTATATATCATGGAAACTTATACACCATAATCATCACAGCAGACTCAGAACTTTTCACAGCAAAATTTTGTCAGAGCCACTCACAGGTCCAAGTCATGAATGAGTTCCAGACCAACAGAAAAGAACATATAGCCAATGACATATTAAATAAATGACAACAGCTTCATTTGTTTTGTACACAAAGACCCAGACAATTAAACAACGGAATTATATGACACAAAAGTATCACACACAATATTATATAATCAACTTTCCTCAATTTCCAGTTTATGGCTTTGATATGGAAACACTTCCTGATGATGTCAGAGAAACTGCAGGAATGATTACCAAATGAGAGAAGACATCTTTATTTGAAGGGTTCCACGCAGCACAGAGGGAAAGTATGCATAGGTCATTTCATCTCATTCACACATAGGTAACGATCACCTTAAGTCATTTTACATAGCTGGCTGATGTGACAGAAAGTTTCCTATCATGTACGCAAAAATCACGGTTACCCTTGACTACAGGGAAAAGGTGACCAGTAGGCCTATCCCATAAAAAAAAGACACACAGCAGGGCCCAAGGAAACAGAGGCCACTCGACTTCACTGCAGCTCAGAAAAGATCACAGAGAACAAACTCCTGGAATCCAGGCCCAAGCACATGAAGGATGGAAGGTAATCAGGGAAACACAGCAAGGATTTTCCCAGGCAAGTCATCCTTGACAAGCCTCATTGCTGTCTACAACAAGATGGCTGGCTAGGTGCATGAGGGGAGAGAGGCTGTAGTGCATCCTGACTTTAGTAATGCTTTTGACACTACCTCCTGCAGCATTGCCACTTGGAAGCTGAGGATGCTGGGGCTGGATGAACAGACTGCTGGGCTGGTTGGAAATGGGCCCGGCCTCTGGACTCAAAGGGCTAAGTGTTGGGGTGGTAACAAGCAGAGTGCCCCAGACATTGTTACTGGAGGGAAAACTGTTCAACATCTTCAACAGCCTGGATGATGGACAGACTGCATCCTCAGCAGATTTGCACAGGACAGCAAACTAAGTGGAATGGTTGATATGCTGAATGGCAGAGCTTCAGTCTAGAGGGGCCTTGAAAAATGGGAGGATTGCGCCAAAGGTGACTTCATGGCATTCAACAAGGAGAAGCATAGGGTTTTGCCGCTGAGGTGGAACAACTCCATGCTCCCGGATATGCTGGGAAGCGACTGAAAGGACTTGGGGTTATGGTGGACACTACACTGAATGACAGCCAACAGCGTACTTGCTCTGTACGTACAGCAAACCACACAGTGCGTTGCATTTGGAGGGCCATGGACAACATATCCAAGGAAGTTATGACCCTTCTCTGGTGAGCACTGGTGAGACCACACCTGGGACTACTGTGTCCAGTTGTGGGAATACAGTTCGCAAGAGCAGTGCAGAGAAAGAGGAAAGGGACTGGCAGAGCCAGGGGCCTAGAGCACAGGATCTGTGAGGAGAGGCTGAGGGGAGCTCGGCTTCAGTTTTGCAAGGAAGATGCTAACAGGAGATGTAATAATCTACTTGAAAGAAGTTACAAACGTGACAGAAGTGCCACAATAAAACAAGGGGCAACATCCACAGGTTACATTTTGGGATGTTTAGGTTGGACATTAGGAAATATTTCCTCACCAGGAAAGTGGTGCAGCACTAAAACACACTGCCCAGAGAGATAATGGATTCTCCATCCTGGAAGGATTATGGGACTTGGCTGGACAAAGCCATGGCTGAGCTGATCTGGTGACAGTCCTGTCTCAGTGAGGACTCATTCTAGATGATATACAGAGATTCCTTCCAAAAAACATTTGTGAAATCCCTTAGCGATTTTGGAGGGGCCAAGATCCTTCCCAGATGACATTTATGCTTGAAGTATTTGACATACAAGAAGCATGACGTAGACAGGTTCACACACGCTAACGGCTGCACTTTATTCTGTGCACGTTCTAGTTCTCCATCAATCCAACCCAAATGAGCAATTGCTCCTCTGGACTACTATCACTTGAGTTTTGCTGAATCTTTTGATAAAGCACCTTTAACTTTTCAGGGCCTAAATTTCAAGGTTTCATTAATAATTTTATACTAAAGTTCTCAAAACACAGTGTACACTGAGGACACCGATAAGGGACTGTAACCTTTGAGTGATTTGCCTTTCTCAGCACAAGGCCTCTGTTGCTGTTTCTAATAGCGTAAGGTTCTTACAGAGAGAAGCCTCATCTTTCCAGACAAAAGAACATCACTAAAGAGAAAAGGGAGAAGGAAAATTGTGCTTTTAGTTTGCTGGCAATTAAGCTTCCTTGTAATTGTAGCCACTACCTATGGAAAGAGATAGCTGGTATGTGAAACTCTGCAGTAGTGCAAAAATAGCCTTCAAGTGCGAATTCTGGACTTTTTAGACCTGTGTCACGTCTGAGGGAGCTGTGAGATATCTCCATTAACATTTGATTTTTGACAGGAGATCTAATAAGCAGCATGGAAATACTAGTTTTTCTTCCACTCCTGCTGCATCTTATTAGAAAAAAGCTAAAGCCCATGTTAAAATACATAAAGAGGTAACAAGAATGGCAGTACCCTCCAGCCTCCCAGTCCTCTAAGTATCTTTACCCATATGCTTCAACTAAAGATAGACACTCCATTTTGGAGAAATTTATTTGAAATAATTGAAACTAGAGAAGGGCAGAAGAGAAGGAGGGAGAGTGATTCAGATAGATAAAAGTTGTGTTTGGCTGTGACTAATGTCAGTTCACGCTGAACACAGAAAATCTTGTGCATAACAGGTACCAAAGCCAGTAAGTCTATATATAACATAAACAACCAGATATAGCACAGGGTCTTGTCCAGATTGCTGACTGAAGGAGGTCACTGGCCAGACGAAACAATAAATTAGTTTCAGACTGACTGATTTTGTTTTTGGATGAGCCATCAAGTAACAAAACCAATTAATGCTTTTTAATTACTTACTTTTAAAGAAAAAGAAAATGTACTCAAACTTTCGAAAATTTTCAAGACTACCTAGATAAGGAATCGGCTGAAATGGGCATCATTTTGCAAGTGTTCCACACTAGCTGAATCTGATTTTTACCCTGCTTTCTTCCTTTTTTCCCAGCTCTAATCATCATTTCACTCTGAACTCAGTTTCACTGTCATCAGTGGGACTGTTTATGGTGTCAGGTTGGAATCTGCATTGCAGAAGGCCAATCTTCTGATAAAATAAAAATTCAGGCAATAAAATCCAGACTTTCATGGATGTTGCTGAAGTCCCAAGAACTGCCTAACCATCCACTTTTACACGTAGTCAGAAACTAAAAGACATCCTATCCCATTAGGGTGTGCAGAACAGGTACTTACAGCTCTGGATTGAAGTAGGAGGTGACATCAGGATCAGGTGCACCTGCTACAGCAAAATTGCTGCTTCCAGTGTCAACCAGAATATTTAACTGCCGAAACAGAAGAAAGGAGAGGTGGTTTTCACATTCAACTAAATAAACAAACGCACAAAATCATTATTTTGTCCTAATTACCTTCTGTTTAAAAATGAAGATAAAGATCACCCTGGAAAATTAATTAAAAATATCACTGTTGGGAAAGGTATGCTGCTGTGACCCTTAAACAGTTGATTATAATGAAATACAGTCACATTCAGGGAAGGGTGAAAACCCTCAAAACCAGCATTCATGCAGCAGATGAATTCATGACCACGTCAAATTCCATTTTGGCCCAAACCCTGCGTCTCAGTAACCTGGCTTGCCCGGAACGCATGTTGAATTGCGTACTGTTTAAAACACTGCTTGCATTAGAGCTTGTGAGGTTTCTGTGTAGGGGGCTGAGCGCAAGCATGAGCAGGAGCAAGCAGAAACACAGAGCTGCCCAGTGGCTTGGGCAGGACGGCAACGACGCATGGCTCGCTCCAAGCGCCAGCAACCTACCACAGCCTGCCCGGCCTTTAAGCAGGGGCATGGCAGATAGTCTAAATGCTGTGAAAAGCATTAATTGAAAGGTGGCCTAAAAGCGGGCTGCTCGTTCAGTTAATCGGGTAGATGATCTGGGCCAAAAATTGCCTAACAAAAAAATCACATAGACGAACTGAACCTCCCTCCGCTCCTTCCCTTTTTGGCCAAGTTTCCCAGTCTGGTTCACCACAGTGGCAGGATCACTTCTTTCAGTGGCAACGCTGGCTTTAAGCCACCTTGAAACTACAGCTTGAGGGTGTTCCTAAATGATAATTTATGCCAGTCACAGACTGCACTACTACCAAAAGTAGCGATCACTTCTTTTTTTCCCCCCCTGCTCTTTGCTGCATGCTTCCCACGCCTTTTTGGCATAAACTTCAGCTCTAGTCCTCACGTGGCCGTCCAGCAAATATGATCAGCTTCCTGACCCAGTGTTACCACCAAAAAAAAAAACAAACAGTAATCTGTCAGATCAGAGAGCTACTTTCAAAGAGATGGTAGGCGCAGAGGCTAGAAACGGGTGATTGTCTCCTTCAGTGACAACGTGGTCTCAGATTGTCCTAAACTGACTGTGAAATTGTGCCCTCGGTGGAAGGGGACACCCGCTCCCCCGAAAAATTTTAAGCAGCTAAGAATCCTCCTGCGGGAGGGAAAATGGCATCAGGCCTGGGTCGCCCATGGTTTGAATCCAGCTCAAACCAGCCACTGCAGTGGCCCCCATCAAGCCTTAGACTTGAGACAGCTGGAGACTAACGCTGAAAGCAAATGTGGGAAGGGGAAAAGGTAGAGAGAGGGAAAACCAGTTTTGTGCTGAGAAAGGGAGAAAGAAGCTGGAGTTCAGAAAGGACCGTAAAGACAAAGGGAGGGGGAAAGATTAGCATTTGGAGAAGATAGTCTGAATTCTTCTTAAATAGATTTTAGACAGAGCATAGACAAAAAAGTGTGAGCTGATGTTCAGAACATCTTCGGTTTGCACGGTGGGTGTGTGTGTGGGGGGGGGGGGATAGAGAGTTCCCTATGTTTTACATTAACTTAGTTATCCTTAACAATGTATACTATCTATGTCAACAACTTAACATAATATGGAACTGAGTAGCTCAGAAAATAAAAATACAAAATTAAAACTGATCAGTAACCTGTGGGACTCTCTTCCGAACTGCCTGCTCGTGCTTTCACGGGTATTCCCAGTCCTTATCACGCAAAAATGTTAAGGCTAAAAAGACATAAAACTACAATCTCATACAAGTTATTCATCTGCCTCCCTGCATCTCAAATTTCAGATTAAGCAGAGGCAGTGCAACAACATTTGTTTTGCAGCCACATGAGCTAGACACAGACTTTTAAAAGCAAAAGGACGTAGACAGGTTCACTTGATGCCAGGAGTTGAGGCTTTATAAGAAAGTAAGACTCTCTGAGGCATGACTTGCAATGAAATCCAGTTTGCTGCTTACTTTATTTCACTCCATAACAAAAAACTAACATTTTGTCAAGTACCTAACAAAGAAAGAACTATTAATTTTTTTATCTCTGGAAGAGGAATTGTTCTAAAAATGAATAACAAAGAGCAGCTACAAAGTGTACATCTATCAGCACCAACAGAAGTTGCTCAAAGGGGTGCTGCAGGGCTTCAGCTAATTAGCATTTGCAAGGCAGTCTGTGATGTTTGAGTAAGGGGCCCTATACCTCAGCAGCATAAACACATGTAGGTGTTGCTGTAGCTTCAGCAATATGCATGACACCATACATGGAGGAGGACTTAAAAACAAAACAAAACAAAACAAAACACAAAACGAAAACAACAACAAACCCCCAAAACTCAAGCACTAAAGAGGGCATATATGAAGGATATTCTACCCCCACACCTTGAATAAAATGTTATCCTGACAGAATTCACAAGTCGCTGAAGGGCAAATTTACTATCCACAGAACTGAGCACATCAACATTTCTAAAAGAAAAAAATGAACCCCCCCCAGCCCCCCAAAAACAAAGGCGCTGACCCTACAAGCGCCAGCCCGCTGTGGCGCAGCAGCGTGCACATGACAAGCCGCTATTGAGGCTGGCATTCTGCGGCTGCATGCTTGTGCCTAATGAGATGCAGCCGGCCAAGACGGACACAGATTTATTGTAGTCCCCACAATAGCGCCAGTGATCAGCGGATCGTTTTGGGGTGGGTATAACTTACTGAGTTCGCTGTCTCCCCCTTCTGTGCCCTTTGGGGCTGAATTGTCTTGAGCGCCTTCACATCTCATTAGGAACCGCTTTCCTGGTGTCACCACCGAAGCCTGCATTACTCTGTGCAGTGTGTTGCCAATTTAATACCACTGCTCCTGGAGCTTCTGGACAAGCTCCAGCGAGTCACAGGACAGCAAGCGGCGGAGCGGGGTCCAGGGCCGCCTGCCCTGCCCCACTGCCGGAGGTCAGCACTGCCCTCTCCCTAGGAACAGCACCGCAGCCAAATACACAAGGTGCCCACTCCCTCACCGTTGTATTTTGCAACTTGGCTTACTAACATAAACTGAAATCGATGCTCAGCTGAGTTCACTGAGCTATGAACTGTGACAGCGGAGAGCGAGCATACCGCTCTACACCTCGGCGCCGGGAGACACCGATACAGGGGCAGAGCCGAGAGTGTCGGTAGCGTCCTCTTACGCTGCCTCCCCATGAAGCACCAGGGATCGCGAATCACAGCTTTCACAGACAGGCAAAGTAGGTTTATTGGCTTTATTGCAGCCATCTAGAATGAACCACCTCCTGTCACTCAGAGCTGGTTATTTAGCGATCACCATGTTTGTCCGAAAGTGTCAGCTGAAGTCTGATTTTGCGAAAGCCAAGATCAGAGCAACATGGCTGAACAAGGCTATGAAGGAAAAACTGCCCAAAGATTGCTGACTGATCATGTGCACAGCATTAAAAACAATAAAAGCCTACTTTCCTTTCAGTTTCTGATGTATAAAAGGAAAGCCTAGAGCGTTTTTTTTATTGTTGCTTCCAAGTTCAATTTCAGACCTATATAGCAGAAAGCAGACAGCAAATCTTTCCTCTGAAGGTCACCTTTGCCACAGCTGTGGGATATAAAATCTCCACCTAGTACCATGCCTGGAGATTATTTTGTTGGACATATTTACGGTACAGAAAGAATGAGGAAAAACTTCTTTCCTGTGAGGGTGACAGAGCACTGGAACAGGTTGCCCAGAGAGGTGGTGGAGTCTCCTTCCCTGGAGATATTCAAAACCCGTCTGGACGTGATCCTGTGCAACGTGCTCTAGAGGACCCTGCCTGAGCAGGTGGATTGGACTAGATGATCTCCAGAGGTCCCTTCCAACCTCAACCATTCTGTGATTCTGTGATTCTGTAATGGGATTATTAATAAGAAGTTAATTAAGATACCTAGATATAGAGTACGCAAGATAGTGACATTTAGCTCTGCCATGCCAAACTTATACAGAAAATCTGATACCCTATCTATATGCCAGTAAGCTCTGCTTATAAAAAACATCAAAAACTGTTTACTGAAAGCACTGAAATATGTCTACAAGGAGGCAGAAGTCTCCTTAGGCCATGCATTTTATACATGGGCATTCTGTTCCAAAGGGGGTGAGAAGCTGAAAAAAATATAGTTGTAATGATTTATTCCAACTGGAAGTCAGACTTCTTGTCAATATTTCAAGGATCCCTCAAACTTTCCAATGCTTGATTTAGAGCCAGCATCAAATAGCACTTACTCTCTACTGTCCTGTTTCAATAACTTAACTACGACTTTAATTTTTTTAAGCTTTCCATTGCTGAATATTGTTGTATTTCAATATCAGAAAACATTTGCCTATTGATCTGTCATCTTTTTTCATTCAGCAAAGTTTCATCTACCTGTGGTTCAGTCACCAGCCCCATCTGTTCGTTATAGCAAGTAGCATCAGTACAACGTCATCAACACTAGTCGTTATCTATGCTTCATTTAACTGCCTGGTGAGTGACAACCTGCAGTTATCCACCATGCCTTCAGAAAGTGACTTCCTTCCCATTTTCAAGGAAAAGTGATAAAATGTGGCAATCATTCAATTTTTGTCGCATAGAGGCAAACAGCATCCACTAGCAGGGACAGACCTTACCTCCCTTTTGACCTACACCACGCTCAAACTTAGTAATGCTCTTCTTCCCTGTTTTAGTTTGAGGTCAGATGGAGTTTTTGGTAACTTCCAGAAAAAAAACCCTCCAACAACACAACACACAGGCTATAAGCGCATAAGGCACTTCTTTGAAGCGATTCTCTGCATGGTTTAGCATATGTAGCCTTTTGCAGGTGTGGAACCGTAAGACCTGTATGCAACCTTGTTGCACTGCTCCTTTTGATGCAATTCCGTGGGTAATCCACATTGAGCTAGGGATAATCTTGATCCTCCTCCAAAGACTAATCCATGGAAAAATCCACTACAGTTCTTCAAGATAATTGGCCTGATCCTTTTAGGTCAAGCAATAAAGGTTCATCACTGGACACAAGAAACCAGACTGAAAAATGCATTTGGCTCTTCATCCATCCCTGCTTGAGCTGAAGCACAGAAGGAAAAAAAAGAACAAGATCTGCACAGTTAGTGCTGTAAATACAATAATCAGTCTCATTCAGCCTTATGTTTACTCTGGGGTTCAGTCAAAATCCCAATGATAGGCAACTGATAGTTCTCCCAGCACAAGCCAGCAGACCAAAGATGCTGGTTCTGTAAGAGTTCATCATGAAAACTACAAATGATCATACCTTCCCTGCGATTTTAACTTGACCCAAGAGCGCCTTTTTCTTCTTCCCTCTCTCCTTTCCCCAATAAAGACAGCAATCGTTCCACATTACTAACATTCATATGCTGTTCAAAATCTTGTCCTGCTGTGCTTTCATGATTTCTCCCACGCACACACTTAAAATAGGGTTTATAGTCCTACTCTGTTTGGTGGAGTATGCCACACAGTGAACTATCACAAAGTAAAAATGTTTTTCTGTCCACATTTAGAGACTATAAATAGGAAGCATCCCGTTACTGCCTCACGAGCTGTTAGCACACATCACAGTGTCCTGGCTTAGCAGAAGTCCATCCCATCTACAAAGCCCTGAACACGCAACTTCTCTTAACTCCCCTTCTTTCTTATTTTGTCCCACACATCATAAACCCTCCAGAAAGTAATTTGTCAGACAGCGCTTAAAAAAGGTGCAAAGAAGTGCGAGGTTTCTCGTTAGGGATTAACAGCTAGAAATAATTTGGGTAACAGCTCTTCTTTTTTAAGCTGGTTAATAGAAAGAAAATTAGTTGGCAATTTAAATACTGCCTCATTTAACACAATGATTCCTAATTACATTATCAGTCCATCTGGCAAAAATTGCTTACAGCCATCACGCAAAACAGAAAACACACTCCTAGCAACTATATGCTGTGTTTGCCCACAGTTGTTATGTGTTATTATTGGCATAGATTGTCACTCAGGTTCTTTCAGCAATTTGCTTCTACAAACTAATAATGTTACAATATATAGTGGTTTTTTAAACACAGAGTGACTGTACACTATTTATAGTGTTATATGGAATTTGCATTTACAGCCTACTTTCTAACAAACAAATTCAGAAGACTAAGCTTTAGTATAGATCCTTCATCTGCTCCTTTCAAGGTAAAGAAAAGAAACCGCATTAAAACATGAATTAGAGGAATCTTTGGAAGCATGTCTAGATGTAGAGGCCTGCCAAGTTGCGCATAAACCCCCAAAAAGCTCCATAAAGACACACTCTCGCTTGCAGCGGGATATGTATTTTGCTGACCACTGCTGAGCAGGTAAGACTGAAACAAAAAAAAGAGGGACGAGTTGGTCACTCTGTACAAAAGGGTGGCACGCTGCCACAGAGAGCTGAGGCAGGTAGAGGACTCTCATATTTTTCACTGCTCTTAAGCACTTCCTGGACCAGAGCTGCCCAGTCCTCCTTACTGCAGCTGCAAACAGGAATCCACAAAACAACTCAGCTGTTTGACTGATGGCTGTGTGGCCACTGATGACGATGGAGAAACACCCCTCCCAGACCAAAAACCTCTCTGCAATTTGAACTATATGATACTTAACCTTTGAGAAGGAGGAAAGGGACAGGCCTGCGCATTACACAGAATCTGGAAAGAGTATTTCCTATGAAGCTTTGAGGGAGGTCACTTCACAGGAGAAAATAGACATTTCTTTGCTACTCCCCCCCAAACCCCTCCCACAGTGATAAGTAAGCTTTAAATATGCAGCTAAGATAAGAGAGGCTGTGTGACAAAGAAAAATGGAAGAGATTAATGATTTTCTAATGCAGTTTGTTAAGCAGGTGGTGCCATACATGTCACTGCAACGTCACACTTAGGACACAGAGGAAGCTGATTTATTGCAGCAAGAAAATTTGACCGAACCAGTAAGTCAAGTATATAACAAAAGAGAATTTCTGCTTTGGCAACTGCAGAAGTTTGTCAGAGAGACCGTGGCATATTTGTAGGTTCTGGAATATGCGGGTGAAAAAATTGCAAATGGAGATTTTTCAGCACTGAAGCACATCAAGCCCACCAGAACGTCTTAGCATTTGCCGTCATTTCCCTGACCATCTATTCAGCTGGTTTCAGGACTCAGGATTTGATCCTGTATTTACCTGCCCCCCCCCCCCCAATCCCCAAAACACACATCTATTACTGGATATCCTCACATCTGCACTGGGCCTAACAGGAGACAGTCTCTTTTGCCCTCAATTTTTTTATGAACTAAACCACTAGAGTAGAAGAAAAATCTTTTCTCTGAAAAGCAATCATCTCTTTCTTTGCCAGAAGATAAGAAGTACTACCTGGATTAGCCAGTCTATCCCCACCTAAGAGCCCTGTGTGCTTCTGTACCTGAAATTTGTATTAAAAACACAAATGCTAAAAATGAGTGATTGCTCTGAAGTATAAACTTGCTAAACTAAATTGTGAGCTGAAATATGAGCATCTAACTCTGGGACTGATGAATGGTCTTTTTGAAGAGAAATATTACAGGAAGTGCTTTATATATATT